AAAAAAAAAATCGGTACAGACGTACAGAGCGAGAGAGACACACACAAACAACCCATCGACAATATGCGCTTTTGCACTGCATAGATGCAAAAAACGCACAAAGACGCATGAAAACAATATTTACCTTTTGGATCAAAAACCACCTTCACTGATGACAACGTGAGTGGTGTAGTAGGACGCAAAAATTGCTCAAGCGCTGCTGGACGTAAAAGTTCCGATGGCAAACGACTAAGTTCAACGTAGCACTCCTGTTTAGCGCTAAGATCTCTGAAAAATGCACCATTTGCAGTTCATGAAGTCAAGAAAAGTAACAAATGTACAAAAAACTAATCAAAAAAAGAACCCCCATCCAGGCTCCTGCTTCACAAATGATCGAGGCCCTCGGAAGTAGCCCGAGCGGTTGCATTTGTCAACAAACAACCACTCGTTGGCAAAGCTAAGCATTACAGACCGCCAAAGAAATTTACACCGAGTACCGTAATCTGCAAGTGCACGCACGGTCATCAGTAGCGATTTTGTAGGATATCTGGTGAGGTTGGGCAAGATTCAGGGAAGGAATTTAGGGATTTTTTTTTGAAATTTTGAAAAATCTACTTCCACTTTTGAAAATTATTTAGAAGCGAGCGGATGATGGCTTTGACTTCTGATGTACGACAGTACCAATTTACCACTGGAACGTAATGGACACGAATCGTAAAGAAATCGATTGTCTCAAATTCTTGAACTTCAGCATGAGAGCAGCACAGCCTAATACTATGTCAAGAGTACTAGTCAGGAGTTCGAGGCAAGAAATGGAGCCAGTAGTAAAGAGAAAAAAGATGTTTATAACTACTTCTACTTTATAGAATGAAAAAAAAAGGAAAAAGCCTACGGTTGCGATGTAACAGCTGGAAAGATTGGTCCGTTGCGCACAGAGTAAGTTGTAACAAGCGGATGAGTGGCAGCAGTTGCTAAGCCAGTCGCTTGTGTGACAACACCAGCCGATCCAGCAGCGGCAGCTGATAAAGAATTTGCAAGCAGTGGCGGCACAAAAAGGCTTGGTACTGCCGGTGGTAGATGGAGTTGTTGGCCTGGGAATACTGCACCGCCAGCGACACTAGTCTGATGATAAATCTATAATAAAATATATTTTTTACTGTTTTAGAATGCAGTATCGCGACCTTAAAAGTTAATAAGTTGGACTAATGCGCATACCTCTGTGTGTATGAGTGTCGAAACACCTATGTATATAAATATATTTACAATTATATATAATAACTAAAATCATATAACGTAACAGAAAATAGAGGTAATAACGCAAAAATAAGGTGGCAAGGGAGCTGAAAGGAGCGACTCTGGATTCCGAGGTTGGGAGAGAGTGTTTTTGTACCCCAGTGGTCATACACTACAAAGATTGCAAACTAACGGGGGCAGGGTGTCCAAATGTTGAACCGGGAATGACCAGGGTGTTGAATCATAGTGTCGTAGTTATTTCTTACGCAGTTTTTAACAAAAAAAAAAAAATAATTGGCCAATGTACGAGCTGTCTGTGCGAAGATGCGTATTTTGCATAGTTCCCCGCAGTTTATGTTGCTACCGGCATCAGTTTTTTCGGTATCATTCTAGCTAAACAAATTAAGACTGGCCGCCAAACCTGGTAGGAAGCATCCCCTTAAAATTTCAGCTTTCTAGCTCTCCTGCTCCTGAGTTAACAACTTACTGGAAGAAGTCTTTCACGAGCCCGCACTCGGGTACCACGCACACCCGATGTCTGGGTTTGAGCCCGTTGAGACTTACTTGGACGGGGAACATCTTCCTCAAACTACAGTCTTTTAGCTTTACAGGTTCTTGAGTTATGAACTTACCCAAGAAGAACTTTGGTGAAACCGTGCGTAGGTACCACGCATGACCGAGGACTTGGTTTGAGCTCGTTGAGACTAATGTAGACGGGGAACACCCTCTTAATGTTACAGTCTTCTAGCATCTCAGATCCCCGAGTTATGAACTTACCCGGGAAAGATTTTGGCGGACCCGCATGCGGGTCCCACGCTTACCCGGGTGTTGGTTTTGAGCTTATTAGTACATACTTGGACGGGGACATTACCCTAAAATTTCAGCTCTCTAGCTTTTCTGGTTCGAGAGTTAGCAGCTTGCCCGTAAAAAACTTTGACGGGCTCTTAGGTGAGTATCACGCGGGAAAGACCGCCCATTTTGGGAATGGGGGCCCGTACGTGCATGTAGATTAAGCCCCCAAAGT